CGTGGTTTTCGCTGTGTGTAATCGTATCATCTTTGCAAATAGTCGGAATAAATCACATAAAAGTCACCTTTCATTTTCGGAAGCAAACTGTTTCAAACACTGAAAATCATTGCTCACGTCGCCGGCTTGACATCTATTAGCAATTCGAAATAGAATTCAACGGAAATTTCATAGCTCATTTACAAGTTTAGTTGATGAGCTTGGAATGAACATGAGACTTTCGCCGGTCAATACACAGATACGAAACAAAATTAAAGCAATCCATTAAAATGGAACATGGAAAAGAAATCCGTAAGAATGAAACATAGCATGTGCCATTTCAAGTATTTCGATTTGCTTTAGTAAACAAACAAGGACGTACAGATTTCGGCAAGGTAAGTGCAAGTATTCGAGTAACGAAACAATGTGATACAGATCCATTCATATGAAACAATGCGAGAGGATTCGTTCGAAATACTTAAAACGGCATATGCTATGTTTCATTCTTACGGATTTCTTTTCCATGTTCCATTTTAATGGATTACTTTATTTTTGTTTCGTATCTGTGTATTGACCGGCGAAAGTCTCATGTTCATTTCAACCGCATCAGTTCAAAATAAAAAAAAGCAGCCGATCATCTTCTCTGTCGTCATCTATGACTTTTTCAACAAAACAAAAGCTCATGAAAAATTCCACGTTCACATATCAAGAGTGGCGTGTGTATGATGATGTTAACGTGGTTGATGTTGTTATTGTTGTTGGCTCTCTACTTTATGTGAATATAGTATTTCCACGTGCGGTAGTTAACTCTATGGAATTGTTGTTGCGCTAGTTTTTTGTGTTGTTTTTATTCATCGTCATTTTCTGTTTGTCATTCGATGTATTCATGCGTGTGTTTGATTTGAAATTCGCTTCGTCGTTATTTTTCTTCGAGGGGAAAATTTCATCGGATTGACTTTTTGTGTTGAATGTGGTTCTTTTTGACACATCTTGATATTGCAAATTCGGGATATATTTCTTTGTTTCATGATTATTAGTACGGAAATTGATGACACAAGACGAATGCTTACTGCGAAATCAATACAAATATATGACAAATAGTTGAGACATTTCTGGCCGTTTATCGCATGACAGTGCTATAAATACTCGTTGATGAATGAGCTATGCGGTTGGCGTGGATTTTCGAGTTTAGCGGCGAGCAAATTATTTCACGCGAAACCAAAAGACAAATGTTTATAAAAAGCATTTGTCATCATTGTGTGTTGAATGCGATCTCTCGTTTTATATTGAACTCTATTCATATTCTTTTTATCGAAATGCACGTACACGCACACTCACTCTGCTCAATATGCAGCCGATTTCGCTGTGTGTATGCTTGATATATTATTATTCAGAATAAATACAATGGATTTTTGGTGGTTTTTTAAATTTCACATTCGGTTCTTTGATCGATGAGTGCTTAAAAATATGAGATGATTCTGTTTTTGGTCAGAATTTTATAAGTTCATCCGTTTTTTCATTGAACATTCGATGAATTAACGTGTTTCATAAATACATACGTGAAATTCTTCATTCATCGTTTCAACTGAGCATTGTCGCAAACACGTGTCGCTCTCCACCGAAATCTACTCAATCGAATGAAGAACATATCCAAAGATGAATGGAATAATAAAATTGGCCATGGCACGAAAAGAATCAATCGATTCTAGACTACATCACAATCGTTCGTCACGAGATTGAATATACTTTTCGGGTTTAAAATGCAACTCGTACGACTTTGAACAGCTTTTCAAAGCTTAAAAACACTCAAATCTTATGAAATTATAATTTTGTATGTTTTCCATTCTCATCGCGCTAGCATCAATCATTGGAATTCTCTTGCGTCAGAACTAGTTTGTTTTTGATACGATACTCAAGAAACATCCATATTTTATTTGAAATTTTCATTTATTACGACTAAATACGCATTTGGCTTTATCGGGCAATTCAAATCATAATAAGGAAAGTAACTAAACCGTTTTCAGGTTGTGACGCGTATAAAGGCTTGGTGATTTTACGACAATCAAATCTAATGGAACATTTTACAGATGATAGTGGAAATCAGTAGAAAAATAATTCATTTTTTCTATATAACACAATCAATTTTAACACACGCACGCACGCACTAATAGTGCGACTATTCATATAGTTCGTATGTTTGATAACAGCCGTTTATCAATATTCTCGGCATGTTCTTCGTTCATTGCTCTGATTCGCGTGGCTCATTTCCATTCTACCAATTGATTAAATAGACAATAAAAAAAATATATGACAATTTTAACCACGAAACACAACGCAGAAAGGACACGTGCGATGAAATGCCCCAACCGATATCAATCCGGCAAAAAATTCAATTAAGACATTTTATTCACCACAATAAATGACAAGGAGAAAAAAAATAGCTGAGCCAATTTAACGTTAATAACAAACCATACCCATAAAACGCTTGAGTCTACATGTCACATGCAGCATATTGCTTAACCCGTGATCCATATTGCTTACCACCTTTGCATTTATCGATGATTGCATTCGCAGCGTTCGCAACGTGATCTTTCCGTTTTTTGATGGATGGGGTACACTCCATCGCCCGCCACTGCCAACACCACAATAATCAATGCAAACAAAAAGCAAAACGCAAGAACAGAAGAATCTCATGCACTTGTAATATACCACTACAGTCTATATGAATGGTTTGGAGCGAAAATGTAATACAGAAAAGTTGAGCGGAAAAATTTCGATGATGAATGAGCGTAAAAGGGATAGCTGTCCCTTTTCATTTGACATTTTTCCGCTCAACTTTTCTGTATTACATTTTCGCTCCAAACCATTCATATTTATTATACGTTCGAATAAAAACAACCTCAAACGTAATGGCAAACAACTGAATTGGATAGAATCGGGGCGAATAAATGATAACAACGAAGCAATTGTATGCCGTACGCACAAATGTCTGGTTGAAACACGTGCGTTGTTACTTTCAATCAACATAGATCATTGACATCGCTAAGCCACCGGTTAACATGTGTACGCATTGTGTGCCGCATTTATCACGTTACGTATATTGACAAGCGCAGGCGTTGAACACCGCAAATGAAAATGAAATAAACAAAAAAACGGCTGCCGGCATTTATGAGTTAAAGAATTTATACTTTGATCTGATAATTGGCTTAGCTGGCATTTGTACCTAATCCAGCCAAGTGCAATGCATTACAATTCCAATTAGCCGCACACTGGTCATTCAATGCAAAATTAATTATTCGCACGCGACCCACAAATCACGGAGGTCAATCGAAACCGATTATCTGACTCCTCAAACTCGAACTGCATGCAACAACAACGAAAAAACGAATTAGTAACACCAACCAAATCGAAAATGTGTTCATTTTGTCTCCGTGATGACATTACACTTTATTTCGATAGACACACCGCAATGACACGATGAAACGTGATAGCTTTTCAATATCCAACGGCCATTCGATCCAGTTTTTTTTGTCTACTTTCGATTCGTTTTCATTTCTGTTGACGTGAAATGTGAACTTTGATTGTTATTGTCATCAAACACACGATCAAAAAAATCGGTTTGGAAGGCGCCACCAAGCAGCTCTTGGTGACCAATAATTCCGGAATATTTTATGCTTGCATGTAAAATAGTTGAAAAAAGCGTTGATGACAATTCAAATTGAAATGCAGTGCAATCGTAACATTTTCACCAGTCAATTCAACGACCTCATCGTACATGTGCGTTCGACGAATTTTTTTTTTCGCCACGAATTCTAAATCCATTTTTTGATGTATGTCGAACATTTCTTTTCCAAATTTTTCAAAGAATTATTATATGTCGTCGTTTCTTGAGGAGAATCCAATCAATTTTTTATTATTCACAAACCTCTCTCTCTCTTCGTTAATTTCCCTACTTCAAATTCAGACATAAACACTTCAAATCGTGAGCAATTTGGAAGTACTTCAACACCGTACGATTAGACCAATTCAGTGATGCACGCGCTAATTTGTATTTATTTCAACCTATTTGTTCAGCCTAAGTTTCATATGTTTCGGTTGGATTCCAACGAAGAAGAAAAAGGAGCCACGTTTTCTTATAGCCACTTAAGTATTTACTTATGGATCGACGTCAATCATTGATGTTGTTGGATGGTTTTATTGCCACACTTACGCCTCGCATCAGCTATAGACCAAGCTATAGACCAAGCATATGGAAATGAGTGAGCGTTCTCTACGTTTGCACGTGCTATGCCTCTTGACTTAATAAAAGCCGAATCGAATAACTTAACAGAAATTGAGAATGCTTTCGCGTCTTCACCCGAGGTATACTGTTCATACAACCGTCTAAGCAACATCATAGTTTGAATGGAGACGCTGTGTCCATTTCTTCGTGTGACTTTTGTTCTGCTCCTCTGTATTATTCCATTGTACACACCCAAATCTTTTATTTTAAAATTAGTGTATGATGTAAATAAATCGTCAAATAAGTGACATTGGACGGTTGTTCAGTGACTAATGTAACTAGAAAGTAGTGAAATTTTTCGTTCGGTTATTGTTAGATGTAAATCAACTCGCGTATTAGTGTCATTGGCTACTAGTTTGATTATTCCATATTTTAGTGTGTATACAGTAATAATTAATTTCAACGAATCAAACTGGTCGGCATTTCAATCTATTTCAAAAACCAAAATTGATGATGCGACAGCAATTGAATTGAAACAATAGCTTATTTTTGATTCCATTAAAAATAAATCTAAATGGCATATGTACGTGTTCGGATTTATTGAGTGAAGAAAAAAAAATTATTGAAATTCTATTTTAATGATAATAACCATTCTTTACCGAAATTACGATTTGTTTGAATGAAGCGTGCAGCACACGAACAAATACTGACCTTCATCAACATATATATAATAATTCTAATCTAATATAAACAATATTCAAATCGATTTCATGTTTTCTTTGTCTTTCTCCCTTTTTAGAATACGACTGACGTAAGGAAATAATGGCACCAACTATTCATGAAGATGACATGGATGCATACAGCTATCGAAATAGCAATCGAATATTACGACATCGTTCTGTGATTAATTATGGTAAGCAAGTTTCTTGTCAACAGACAATATTAATCTTTAAATGGCAGTGATTTAAAAAACCACTCGCACGAGCTTGTAGCCAAAATGTCGTGCTCATTAGAGTTCAACCGTGCTTTTTGTGTGTGCATGAAATGAGTCATTAAAATAAGTGTAATCCATTTGGATAACAATCATAAAGCCAAAATTAGATTTGGCAAAATTTATACGAAACAGAGACTTTGTGCCCATTTACAAAAAAAAAGATTCGAATTTCTTCTATTTTATATTTTAACCCAATCAAATATGTTATTGGACTCATTTTTTTGAAATCCCAATTCATTTTTGAAATATTTAAATTTATGAAAATCAGCCGGCATTCCAATACATTCAAATTTGCATGAAATTAACTGTTGTTTTTTTTCTTCAAATTTTATTTCTGCAGTGGGTCGTCAATCAAACCGAGAAAATGATTCAAATGACGAGATGGAGTCGAGTGAAAATGAAAGTCAAGGGCGACGAAGCAGAGAATGTATTCCATACTCAACCGAACGTCGAAACATAATCAAGCGTATTCGAGAAACCAGAATGTCGTATGATAGCGATGATTCATCAAACAGTATTCCAAGCCCCATGTCATTTCATAACTATGCAAAGCGTCAGAAGTTCAACGACTCCGAAGATGATGACGAAAAATACATAAGGTATTTATAGTAATTTTTTTCTTTCGATTTTTACCATTCAACGGTTTTTATTTTCGTCGTTTTTTAATTGAAATCCGACTTTATTAACTTGTCTCTTTATCTGTGTATTTTCGTTTCAGTACATCAAGTGACTCGAATGAAAACTCTGTATCATCAACCATATCGTTCAATAACGACGTCAGCCGGGAAGGTGTGCGGCTTCATTCTTTAAATTATTTATTACGACCGACTGCGTTGGCTCCATTTTCGCCTGTATCGTCGACGACGGCTGGTGCGATGACGGTATATTGCCAACCGAAAGCATCTCCGCGTTACATCAATCCATTTTATCGTCAAGATTTAATGGAAATTGCAATGAAAACGATCATCCTACTGCAAAAGAATCGTTCGTTGTACGCCCGACTTCATCAACTTAAATTAGAAACCCGTGCATTCGTTGATACAGTGATGTCGAATCCGGAGAACGCAAAATTGCGACAAACAATGAACCAAAGCAATGAAAAATCCTACGATCAGCAACCATTAGCTGTAAAAAACCAGTGAAATTCATTTGTCTCATCATAACTCACAGTTGATACATAACTTTTCTTATTGTTTGTTATACTAGTGTTCCCATATCATTTTCGAATCTAGTTTAAGAAGACTTTGAGCTAGCTCTCAAACATTCATTAGCATGTCAATACTTATCTATTGAATTCCTATAATATCGCATGAACTAGAGTTTTGCAACAATTTCTACGATAACCAAATGATCGCAATCCTATTTCTTTTTGGTTCAAAGAATGATAGTTAAAGTTAATCTCTTCTTTGGATATTGTTTCCAAGTAAAATAAAAACGAAGAAAAAAAAAGAGTTAAATCACAAAGTATATACAACGGTGATCTCGTCTCAAGCAACAGGTGCAGAGTGTTCTCTATTTTAACGAATTTCTTGGATATCTTTCTCTTTGTACTCAATTTGGAAGCCGAGGTAGCACACAAACTGTAATTTGTCACATAATATTAAGGCTTATTATATGATAGTGAATAAAAATAAACCGATTTAGGCAGAATTGTTTTTTTTTCTTGATCCGAATGGGATTTTTGTTTTATTGTGTTTTCTCGTAAAAACTGAACTTATGTCTAAGTACAAGGACATGGCGCCTCCTAATCACCTGATGTTTCACAGACGATTATTCGCTGGGTGCAATATTTTGTGCGGCACAAATGAGGGTATCATGAATATCTTTGGCGTATGCAATTTGTTGACGCACCGTTGATAAATACTGTGGATATGAGAGAGCATTTTCATTTGTTGGCATTGAGTCGAGACGGGTAAACATAACCTGTGACGGCAAGTAACGTTGTGAAGCGGAATTTTGTTGCAAGCATAAAATCGATGTTTTCAGGTGTAATTCAATTTGATCACAAATTGAGTAGAATTCTTCCAAGTGTTTGTCAAAGCGTGGCGGAGCCTGATTGCTATTGTCGATCCCCTTGATTGGGCCATTATCAATGTGATTGTTGTACTGTAGTAAATTGGCCGCCGTTTTTAGTGTCATCTGTTCAAACATTCAATACAGTTGGATAATTCGCATGTGAATACATAATATTTGAGAAATAAGGGATTTCATGATTGGTTTTAGGTGATTTCTCAAGCTCAAATACTTACGGCAAGTGAATCTCTCAAAGGCCCGGCTAAACTTTTCACTTTGGCAATATTGTCAAGCGCTTCGGATTTCGATTGCTGCGGATGTGAAGGTGTTGAGATTGGTAGACTGCCCGTGCTCGACGTTGAACCTTGTGATTGTGCCGATTGCGGTTGTTGCGGTGAAGAAATCGCATTTGGTGGAACAATATTTGCGTGTTGATTCATTTTCTACTCTTAAACTTTTCCGTCGAAATATTTCAATTATTTTAAATGAAAATCAGATGTTTTTAATAGTTGCTGGCAGAGTTATTTTCGTGTTGTTTTTCTTGTGGAAATTATTTAACAAAATTTGATGAACCAAATTAAGAAGTAAACACAGTTTTCGGAAATTAGTGAACATTTGACAGCAGCGACAGCAACATCTAAAGCAAAGTGTCAAAAATAAATGCGACAACACCAATTCGCCTCACCAGTTAAAGCCGTTAGACGGTGTCGCCACTATATGTCGTTCATTGAATCAAAATTCGAATTGAGTATGACAACGATCAAACAAATGCCATCAAATAGCACACAACACAAGTGAAGCCTAGTGAAAAAATACGCAAAAAGTATATTATGATTACAGTTCAGCCGTTTGAATAAATTTTGTTGAATTTAAATTCACCGGTTTATGTGCAAGTGTTTATCATTTTGGATAAGAAATAATTAACAAAATGGCATTTGAGGATACACGACCACGAAATCCAGAGCATGCCCGATTGATGTAAGTTGAATAATAGCGTTCATTGTTTTCCATACTACAAACATCCAATACATTGCAGCATTCTTAGTTTTCTTACCGTTGTTGCTTTATTTTTCGTTCGTCAATACAATAATTCGACTGTACGCAGCACATATTTCACAATATTCTGACCACGTTTTTTGCTCTTACTTCGCGATGTATTGTATTGGTTAAACTGTAACCAATTGAATTTTCTGCTGAAACGACGCAATGAAATAAGTTTTATAGTGAACAAGCAAGCCATGCTCCAATGTTGCGTTTTCCAATGCAACGCTGTTCAGATGGTATTTTCAGTGCGATTTGTATGTGTGTTGAATGGTTGTTTTACAAATGTCATTTGAAAGTGGTTATTGAGAGACAAAAACTAATCAAAGTGAAATTGTATTTATTTCAGTGAACAAATGTACGATCCGGAGCGTTTGCGAAGGGAAGTGGCAGAAGAAAATTCCAATGGTCTAGATTCGGAGCAAAGCATCGATGATCATTTGGATAACACAGACGAGTTCCGATATTGGGCGCGCAAAAAGCTTAAGGGCACCAATCTGGATCCAGAAAACCGAAAGCCAATGCAGGTAGGCTGATTCGATATGCGCCATTTTCATTCATTCAGAGAATATAATTTGAATATTTTGTTTTTTTTTTTCGCAATCAGATTTCGGACAGTCCATTATCTGACTACAACATTGAATTCACACGTTTGAATAGAACCATGGATTCGATAACACCATCGTCTCTGTCGAGTCTGCATATTCCGCAAGCATCGAGCGAATCGCTGTCGTTTAACATGTGTACGCCAATAGGAAATGCAAGGAAAAGTCGCCGAACCATGAGTCGAATGAGTGGAAATTATACACCGAAATTGATTTTGCGTGAAAAACAGCAAGCAAGAGTTGATCGACGGATAACCAAGGGACGGATGACAGAGGATTTTTCGCAACTTTTCATGCCGAAACAATGCAGCACACCACGGTCAGAGCGCAAGCGAAATTCATTCTTATCTCGGCCGGAAACCGACGACAAAGAGGAAAGGGAGTCGGTTGTTAGCTTATCGAATGGAGATGCACACGATAGTGATGACAATCAATCCGATCGAACGCTAACAAATGAGAATAAAGCTGCTGAAGGAGTTTCCACATCCGTGATACCCGAAACACAGCCCCACGACACCATAATTCCTGAGACACAGGACCTACCCGAAACAGAAGATTTCATTCCAGAAACTCAAGAAAATGATATGCCAGCTACACAAGACGATGTAGCTAATAGTCCAGTGCAAGCACAGGTAAACAATTTTTTTCTTTTCAAATGTATTTTACGAAATATTCGAGATGTTTTACCTAAAAATATGCTTTTAACTATTGTTTCAGGTGACACAACCGAATACCGAGCAGCAGGCTGAGCCTCGAGCAAATTTATCAAATATTTCGGATATAAATACACGAAGAATTCAACCGCGACCACCAATTCGAGGTCAATCAAAGATTGTAACACCATCGAAATTTGTTCCATCAACTACACCGATTGCCAAACCAATTCCGAAGACGCCATCGCGTTTGCCGCTCCCAATATCACGAACGCCAAAACCGATTCGAACAATAGCACTCACTCCTCTCACACCGATTGTGGTTGAAGGGATACCGAGGCCGCATGTTGATGAAGTGACATCATCGAACGCTCAGAATGCTGAAGACCGAATCGTCATACTTCGTACGCCGCACTCAATTCGATCAAATCAGCCCGCTGCAGAGCCACCGACAGTAATTCCAGCTCCAGCACAGAATATCACTGTCAATGTGAATGTAAGCAATTCGCAGCCTCAGTCACCGCACCAAGCAACACAAACGACTCGCACACACGATCAACACATCGAAAATGCAACAAATGGTGGAGATTCTGGTGGTGACCGACGGAATAATAGCACCAATGACAGCCTCATGACTGATGACAGTGATTCGAATGGCAATGACGCAAATTTGTCTGGTAGTCGAAACGAAACGCCCAGAGGCGATAGCAGCAATATTTCGGCACGTCGAAGACTATTCACAAAAGATGATGCTGATCAGACTCGACGCAGTGCGACATTCAACAAAGTTGACAACTTGACGCAAACAATCGATAAAAACATGACGCGAACAATCCCGGGAGAATCGACCCATTCACCGTCCGCAAATGGCAATCAATTTCGAACTCGTTCAAAAAATTCCATTCCACATTCAACCGCGAAAAGTCCAAGTGCTATTGCATCAAATTCACAAACATTTGCCAAACCAAAAACATCATTACAAAACGCAACCTATGATGTTCCAGCGGGAAATCGGCCAATTCGGTTCTCAGTGGATAATCGACAATCGACTGTAGGAATTAACAGTGAAGAATTTCTCAACTCGCTAACATCGCCGCAGAGAACGTACAATAAAAATGGGAGTACATTCAGTAGTATGGCCGAATTGCCGTCAGATGCAATTCTTGGTTCGATTGATGTATCGGATGATGCAATGAATGTGGATGAAGCGAACGAAGCGGATGCCATTGAAGATTTAAGCAAAAATGATGAACAACCACCTTGCAGCAGTAGTAAACTGAATAAGAAGCAAATTTCGCAGAAAATCGATCTCAATTCACCGTCATGGAATCCATTGGTGATGGTAAATCGCATTCCTGATCAAACAAAATCAATTCCAAAAGCCATTGCAAACGTATCAAATATACGCATAAGCCAATTATACCCCTTACCGCCGCCAGACGAATTTCAAGATAGTGAATTGGTAATGGAAAGATCGCCGGGCGCACAAAAAATAATCCGAGAAGTAAGTAGTACTCATTTGTTATAAGTCAATAAAGAATCTAATTTCATTTCATTTATCGAAACCAATTTCTAATCCTTTCAACACAGCGAATATCGAACTTGCAACAAACCCTGCACGAACAACAAAATGAGTCATTGCCGAAAAATGGACGTATGCGCCGTGCATCAAAAAAGAGTGTTCCACTTGATGAAAATTTGGTTGTTGTAGACAAAAATCTCAAGAAAATTGTTGAGAAAAAAAGTATGGCACCGTCAGAAAAGCCAAAACCGCGTCGACTTCGATCAATGTTGGAGATCCATGAAAAAGATGACGATGATTCGGCATTCAAAAAACCAGATGCGCCAGCTCCACGAAAATCAAAAGCAACCACGGCCAATGAATCAAATTCAACTAATAAATCTGTGCCAACAATGGAAGAATCACAAGATCAGGAAGAACTGGTTGATGTTCAACCACTGGATGACGATGACGAATTTGATACAGACAATCATGTCATCCAAGACAATGAACCGAGTACATCGAATCAAACAGTGCAAAGAGACCCAACACCACCACCACCGCGAACATCATCGAAACGTAAGAAGAACGCTCAATCGAAAAGTCAATCCAAATCTAAAACCAAAACCAAAGAACCAGTGGCTACTACAGAAGAGGTGGAAGATAGCCCATTAAACGACGTCACATGTAAGTTTATTTACTTTGAATCATTGTTTATCGTCGTTAGAGTGTATTTTGAACTCAAGTTTCATTTTCCATTGTATTTAATTCAGCAAACGAAATCGGCACAAGACGATCACGACGTAATCGAAGCGAAAATGCTGATATCATGATGCGTCGAGCTGCTTTTGCCGCGTCGCTACCTTCTAAAGCCGAAAAGCGAACGTCAAAATCAGTTCATGCTGTGCATCGCACAGAGCCTGTAATTCCGAATCGAAATGATCCCGAGAGTGAACCGCCACGAAAGAAACAACGCGCACAATCCGAAATCGGGCACAAAATTACACGGCCACCGTCTTCTTCAAGCAAATCGGTTCGATCAATGAAAATTGACGTGAACACGAGCAAATTGGACAGAACAACGGGACAACATACGGAGGCGGATGGCAATCGTAATAATATTGCGACGTTTACACAAGAGCTCGATGAACACATAAAGAAAAAATCACAACAAAAACTGCGATGGTGGCGAGAGCTACTCGATATTGCCGAAAAGGGTCCAATCGTGCATAATGATGCAGAAGTCGATGTTGAGTACATAAGAACAAAATATGGACAACTGGGTATGTATGAAGGAGTTTGCAAAGTCTGAATGAAAGTAAGATTCTAATCAATTTTATCGTCGTTTTTTCTGCAGAAATTTCATCAACGGATAAAATTGGATATACGGAAGTGGATGGTGTTGACTATGGTTTTGTGCCGGCACGTATAAGACGTGTTGGTATGATGCGATTCAAACCGAAATCGGCAAAGGCTGAAGGACTCACCTCAGTCGAACTGGTAAGTTATAGTTGCTATTGTACATACATTTTGCATTGAATGTCGAAATTGTTCGTGAAAAACGTAATTTTCCGGTCATTGTTCTTTTCTTTCCTCTGTCTACAGGAATTGCACATTTTGCGCGGTCAATTCAGAGTACAATCTAACAACGAGGAGATAGATGCACACGCTGGCTCAGATATAACTATTCCGAAAGATGCTACGTATGGATTGAACAATTATAGTGATGATGTTGGAATCATACAATTCACATATGCAACGGACATGTGATGAAAACTCAGTTAACTGAGTATCACATGAACAAGAGCAGTTGAAAAAAGAAATGTTATGGAATGTTCAAAAGAAATCGTTCTTTTCGCATTAATAAATACTCTACCTTTAAGTTGAATTTAATAGCATTTAGCATAATTTAAAATCAGGCCATTAACAAAAAGAAATGTAAACGCATTCGCAACACACAAAAAAAGAAGATTGGTCTACAATAGACGTGTAAGAGTTTTTGCATGGCCTTTTTTTCGCCATGAATTCAGCCTTTGAAATAAAAGAAAGTTATTAGATTTGGTAATTGATGTTTATCTGTCAGACTTGACAAATTGTTATGCGCATGTGTGCTTAACCAACACACATAAAGCGATTGTCTCATATGCGCATACTCATTGCTTCTCGAACGCACACATGAAATATGAATGCAAAATGAAAGTACATGGATTTCGCCATTTCTTCTTTGCACCCACTACTCAAACTCGAATGACCGCTATGCGCTTGTATTGGTCCGCGATCGCATCAAAACAGGTAAATGTATTGAATGAATATTCCACACAGATGGATGCAATGACGTTTGCACCATGGAATCAATATATCTTCATTGCATGTGTATGATTCATTGTGGAATATACAACGCCGTACATTTGTATGAATTTTGCTGTTCATTTGGAAATTTTATAATTCGCTAAATTTCGAATCTCACGCAATTCATACAAATAGACAATGGCACGCGCTGTATGATGGGTGGTTCGCAGCCGTCTTTGTTATCAAAAGAGTCGGGAAATTTTACATAAAATTCAAAATACAAATAAAAAAAATAGATCGATTATCGAGATGATGAAAACTGCGAACTGCCTTTTTGCTATAGCAATGTCCACAAAATTCAGGTTTTATTTTTATTTTCTTCGTTTTTTTTTCTCGTTAGAAAATACATTGAGTTTACGATTAAATAACATTAAAGTTAGCACAACGTTTAAGCATCATCATTATGAAATTGTGTTTTATTAGATCAGAAATCGTTCATCGATCAATGTTTGATTTGATAGATTCTTCTTGACCAACAAACGCATTGTGTGTTTTAGTATCTGCAGTTTGAGAATACAAATGAATAATTATTTATAGAATTATATTGGTTGATTAATGGTTTTTCTTTTGAAATCGAAGAAAAGTTGTACCTCTGAAGCGATTCCCAGAAACAGAATAGCAAATAGAAAGTTGCCACATATTACAATAACGCACAGAAATAGCAAAATTTCAATTTGGAATAAAATCTGTTCGTTCCCATAGAATAAAATACTGTCGAATGAATGACCATTGTCCATATAAAATGTGCCCCGGTCTATAGAATAAAATTTTAAATGATCAAAATAGGAATAAATATGAGGCTTCATATGGAGAAATTTTTTTGGAATTTCGTTCAAGTTTCTTACTTTCAGTCACATTACTGTCGAATTCAAAGTCAAAAATGTTCTCCAAAATGCTTTTTTCTTGGATAATATAATCAAGATCTTTTAAGCCCTAAAAAATGTTTTAGTATAAAAAAGTGTTATTCTTAATGAAAAATATTAAAATTTAGATTGACATTCATTTTTTCAAATAAAAAAAAACTCTTACATGATCGATGAATGCGCTTAGAAACCGATTTATTGTGGTGTTTGTATGTGCGATTTGTTCCAGATTCTGTTCGAAAAATTTGCCCACCGTTTCGACCGGTTGATTCTGTTGATAGTTTTGCGGTCCATTTTTCTCTTCCATTGACTTTCGTAGCGTTGATTTTAGTTTGTTGTAAAGGGTTCTATATGAAACAATTGTCGATAATTTTTTTGTTTTGTGAGTTGAAATCCGCATTTATTTTCGTATTCAAAGTTTGAACTTCAAACGAAAGTGTTTGACTTACCTTAATTGAAGTGGTGCCAAAAAGCAGAATGTTTGATGCTCCGAATTTGGTAGCAATCCACGATGACCGCACATATTCTCACTTTCGCGTCGCAATTGTTGTAACATCGAGCACATATCGGTGTCAGCAAAGCCATGTGGCGATCTAAATCAAAGATTCATTTGACTTAGAATTTTTTTTTTCTATTTTACTTTTCATACCAAATATTTGAACTACCTTCCGTGAATATAATAGCCATATGAATCGATGGCAAAAATAAACATGGATATATTTGACATGGAACAGATGTCGATGAATTGTTGCACCGAATTTAGTATGTAACGCTCGTAAATGATAAAGTTGAATAAACGTTGAATGGCATAGCAAACCGAGTAAATAATTAATCCAATTGCGAGCATTTCCAGTGCGCGTCCACTTCGAATGATACGATCGGCATCAGGTGTCCATGGCCAGTGGAAAATCGATTTGAATGAAAATAAATGCGCCCAATCAAAACGAAAAACCTGTATAGAAAAAAAATTCCGCCGTTATTTGTGGCTTTTATAAAGAATAATGCGAAAGAGACAACTTACAATGATCGTCAGTAAGACCATTAATATTTGAATGCCAATCGAACATTTTCGTTTTGTCGACAATTTAATCCATTCATTTGCAACGAAGTACATTCGCCATGCGGACAGTCCATCGTTTTGTTGGTATTGTCGAGCCTGAAATTAAAGAAAAACTCAATAAGATCGTCCCGTTTTCGAATATTCCTGTAAGCATTCAACTAACACTTGAGCAAATTGATGGCGTATCCAAATTATTTGTGGATTTCAATGTAATCTGATGTTCAAAAACTCGCGGTCTTTCCCAATCAATGAAAAAAATATCGCAATTTATCTGCTGGCCCAAGTGATGACAGAATTTTATAATCTGAAAATTTATTCAATTTTAATCATCATCAGGTTGACTTTGAAGATAAGTTCAATTTCATCGCCATTCAAAAAAGACAACGAACCTTCAATACAAAAGACAAAATGAAGAAAAATTTGATGATTTTCAGCTCGCCAAACGGCGGCAAAACCTTGACAATATTCTGTGATTTGTAGATAAAGTAAATGTAGACGGTTAAAAAAGCGGCGCTAGCAAAAAGAACCGTTCCCAATGTTGAGCAGCAATTAATCAAGAATTTAACCAAAAGAAATGAATCAAATTCATTCTGTTGTTTGCGTCGTTTGAAGGACAGTGTTTGGAAAATGGCCATTCCGAATGCCGCTGCGAGTGCCATCGTAAAGAGAATCTAATACAAAGAAAGACCCAAAACTAAATCCAATGTCCACAAAATACAAACTAAACTCAAATTACGTGCAAAAATATTCCAATATTAAAATCCTTTGCAAAAGTAACACGGAACTCAAAGTCGATATCAAGATTGTTCGCCCACCGGAAATCACGCATATCAATGTATGCATATTCAACGATAAGAAGCGGAACCGTTATTTTGTTACCGAAATAATAATGGTTTTCATTGAGATGGAATTGTAGTTCCACATTTTTTACATAGCGAATATTCATGTATTTTTCAAAGATATTTTCGGCCGCGAACGGATTGGGTCGATACGTTCGGTTTCGGCCAGTCAATGTGTCTATCATGAAAAATCGCTTCACCAACTGCCACTTGTCTCGATCGTACGGATTCTGTAAATTGGAAATCGGATTACATTGCCGTCCATAACAAAGTTGCTGAAGAAAAGTTACCATGTTGTAGGTGAACGCATTTCGTATCAGAATTGGAACAGCTTTCACCAGATTTATGTTATTCTCCGTATAGTTCAAGAAAAGATTTAAGAACCATGGCTTCCGTTCACCCATTTCAATTAGGGATCGCAGATCGATTTGACATGCGCTAGCCAAATTTTCTCCAAATTTAATTTGTTGCTGATGCATACCGCATAAATTCAGGTCGTCCAATTTTAGTGGTTGAATCGTTTTCAACTCTCCATTCAATTCATGGGCCACCAGCAACATTGAAATACGATTTGTGGTCTATTGAAATACATTAATTAAAGGATTAAGAGTAGATTAATCACGAAAATTATTCAACAGGAAATAAAAAATACAAATACTTGATGAAAACTCGATTCGAATGCTTCAATTGAAACTTACCGGAAACTGAGTTAAACCACCATAATCTTCAGGATCGTATGTGGCGTCGTTTTTAAAATATCTGTATCGATAATCGATAACCTTATCCAAATCATCTGAAATGCTGCGACCTTTAGCGTAAAACAAAAACGGTACTAGTTTCGTTTGATACGAATCGGTGCCAGCAAACGTCGTTTGTATGCCATAGAAAATGTTGCATGGTGAAAATTTCTCCAGATTATAAACCGTCAACACGCATAAATTGGCCACGTGCTCACAATACTCCACCATTTTCATCGTTTGGCAGAGAAATACTAGAAATTCCAAATTTTTAAATAGATCGTTGGCCGCAGTAACGGACGCCTGATTTGTGTTCACTTTGAATTGTTTGTAGTTCAAAAAGTCCTTTAGTAAATAGGTTGGGACACAATAGTTCCCGAAACGTACATAGTTCTTTGGATCGACACATTCCATTGCCGACAACGGTAAGCTGTTTCCATACGCAGGGCACGTCAAATTGGTCGTTTGATTTTTATCGCTCTTTGCGGGTATTCGTTGAATTTGTATCGATTTCGATGGCGGTGACGTGGATATTACTTCGACTAGGTGCTCCAAACCGCATGGCTGTGCTGATCGCAACAACGGTGCAAAGAATTGAATGTTGCATTCGATGACATTGGTGCAATTCAGTGCTGAGCAAATTGGCTGCCTCAAATTGGTATCATATTCGACTTTTGTGGTGGACTTTCGATTGCACACACAACTCAAGCCTTTCATAAACGACGGAGGGAAAAAAGCATAATAAAAATTTATGAACGAAACAACTAGGATTAGAAATGGTTCAATCGAGTGTCACGATATCACGCAAAATAGAACTATTCAATTTGCTATCAAAATATACAATATTCAGCTTTCGCTGCACTTGATTAGCCATTATATCTGTACGAGCAATCGCTGTTTAGCCACATGCCCATGTCTGTTTTCTAATGTTCTATTTTTGTTATATCGGCGATCTTAATCGCATTTTGATGCAGTACAAATCAAAATATGGTTAACAATGGCCTTGAGACAAGTTCAAAGTCAATAAATCTATTGCTCGGCCGTCGTTTGCTATACCTGATTTATTCGCAACAAATCGGTAAATTGTTTGAACCATTATAGCTTATGTGCATACTATGACTAGGCAATAAATATACACTCGGCTATATTTCCCAACGGAACCGTTTTTCCAAGCAGTCGGGCGGCCAACATTTTACTTTGATGGGAAAAGCTCGTTTGACATAACATGCAATCGTTGTACGACTTCGACATGATGATTAATTGAACTTTTGTTCAAATAAATGGAACATCAAAGCCAAAGGGAAAATCAGAAAATTGACTTTTCACATCGCCTGCACATGAAACGTTTATCTTCGTTTCGGCACCAGTCAAATACTGAAAATCTAAAAATACCAGCCAAAGTGGTACCACAAAATTTGTGACCCCACATTTTTTTTTTTGGAAATTTTGAAATTTTTTCTTCTGAACATTTTGCACACGGTATATCTGTTACTTTCTTGGAATAATTCAAGTTTCTTACCATTTGTTGATGGCATTAAATTTAGCTGTGGATCGCATTCGCGACACATAAAATAATTGACATCGTAATACTCGGATGATTTACAATGTTCGATGTGATTATACAGAAAAACGGTGTTTTCATTTGCGGAAATGGGTTTGATAGGTGAATAAACAAAGACATCCGATACACATAATAGTAGTAATAGTGTTGATTTGAACATTTTTCAGTGCCCTAGATTTACAATCAATCGAACTGGTTCCACACTTGAGTTTTCATTTTTTTTAAATTTCCATTTTCATTTTCGGTTTTTTTTCGGGATATTTCAGTTTGTTTCAATTTTTCTCACATTTCCCACTAATTTTTTGCACAATACCCAATGGTTGACACAGTTTCGATAACTCCAAAAAAATGGTCAATTTCGTAGAGTAACCACTGTGGACGAGTTTTCTCAACCGCTCGGCTGTATGTACTTTGTTAAACTGAGACCATCAAGTATTTATTACGCTTAACTTCGAATGCATAGTGGACGGTGGTATTGTCATAGCAACGGACATAAAAAATAAATATAACACACAAAAAAATACGGTAAACACGTTAAAATGCGGGGAAAATGTTTTCAACATGTATTTATGGAGGAACAAACTGGATTGGTCATACATTAATTTTATGCCAGTTTATCGTGCTTATTGGCCATAACGGCTTAGCAGGCATTGCTGCTATTGGTGCGGTTATTGTTCGAAACTAGCAGCAATTTTAGTCGCAATCGACTGGTGGTAATTGCTTTAAATGGGTCGAATATCATTAATTCTTGAATTATTTCAAAATTTGCATGTTTTTAACAGTGACGTAATAAATCCTTCTATTTGCAGAATGAATATGAATTGGAATGGAATGAAAATAAATTTGGTGTGAAATTTGTTTATGTTTCATTTTATTCTGGATTTTATTTGCATGTGCTATACATCATCAACGTCAATTATCTCACATGAATCACAGTCATTTGCAAGTTCTGAGTCATCGTCAATATCATCAAATGTTTACATCTTCCAGATAAAATCATTTCATAAACATGTAATTACATGTTTTGAGTTTCTAACGAAAACTTTCGTTCAAATGTCAGCAAAGAGAGTACAGATGCTCAGTATCGAATTCGCCGCGTGAATTCGCTTGGAGTTGTCGTTGTCCATTGCTTGTTCCGCACTATGTTCATTGTATTGCTGGAAAGCTGAAATATTTGACATTCTCAAAACGTCATCTGTAATTTGTTTATAAATTTTAGAAGGTCTTTCATCTGAGAAAGTCGAACAATGAAATTTTAGTTTCTACGCAATCAAAGAAAAATTTATTCTCAATCAAACATGTATTATTTGCGGTGTGCACAAAATCAAAAACATTTCAAATGATGTGGAAATTACAAAAAAAGTGTGTATTTGAGCGTCGAATTATTTAAATGACGTAATTTCGTGTTGCTGACGATCTGATTTCAATCTTTTTTTTCCCTTATTGGAACGACATTTTGTTTCTCTATTGCTGTACGACCGAAAAAAAGAGACGAGCTGTAAACAAGTGAAAATAAAGTCATCGGAATTATTTCAATTATATGGACATTTCGACAGCCCGGATTTGGATTATTGAATTTTATCGAAAGCGAAAAGTCCAATAAAACTTGGTGTGTGTGTTTCAATATGTCGAAAACAGTACGCAGGTGCATTGTTGGGCGACGACCTCCTTGTTACATACCAAGTCGACTTGAAGAACGAAGTGCAAAAGCCCGTCAATTGCGACAAGAAAGACGTCGCAAACCAGACAAACCCGACGATTTTGTAACATACGAAGATTCTGACAGCGAAGATGAAACGCCCGTACAACAAAACGAAGTGCTTAATACATCGTACAATTTTGTGGACTATGTACGAAGTCGTGAATTGAATATACGGGAGCAGCGAAGTGTATGCAACTCATATGCAAGTCGACACATTCTAACGCATGACATGTTCAAAGAAACCGCCATATCGCTAGGTAATATCAATAAAGTGTTTTGCTCACAGTGGCTGAGCAATCGACAAATTATATTCGGCACAAAATGCAACAAATTAATGGTGTACGATGTGAATATGCGACGTGTCGATGCAATTCCAACGCTACAGGGCAGTCGACAGGCTGGCGCTGAAACACAGAATGGAATCAATGCCATTGAAATAAATCCGTCACGTACATTGCTCGCAACGACTGCCCGACACTCGGCCGATATTGCCGTTTATCGTTTACCCACACTGGACCCAGTCTATATTGGTGAATATTGCCATCGGGATTGGGTGATGGATATGTGCTGGTTAGACGATCAATTCCTCGTATCTGGGTCAAAGGATGCAAAAATGGCATTGTGGCGCATTAACGAAGACGAAAACAAAGTCGAAGTTAATGAGAAAACCGATGAGGAAACATGCCCAACACCCGAACGCATTACGGCATTTTCGGTGAAAGAATGTCGAGCGGCTCAGAAAATTCGTGCACTTTGCTTTAATCCAGATTACAAAGAAATTGCCGTAATCAGTCTCAATGGTTATATTCATATTTTTAATGCCGAAACATTTTCGCAAAAACTATCGAGAAAATTGCCAAATTGCCAGGACAATGTGTGCATCGCAAGCCAACCACAAGGACTGTATGCGGTTGGTTGTCGATCGTATACGCTACTTTTGGATCCACGAACATTGCAAGCGGTGAAGAAAATCGCATCGAGGTACTCGGGGTGTGGCATTCGATCGGCCAGTTTTCAAGAAAACATTTTAACCGTTGGCACCGGATTGGGAATGCTCATGTTCTACGATTTACGGGCCGGCAAATATCTCGAAAGTAGCATAAATTCATCACGAACCGTTGTACTGAAAGCGAGTAAAGGCTATGTGTTTCCCGAAGAGGACATTGAAGGTTTTCAACAAGTCCGGTATGTGCCGGCTATTTACACACATTGCTATGAGCCAATGAGCGGTACTCGACTCTTTGCTGCCGGTGGACCGTTGCCCGCGACGCTCGTTGGGAACTACGCGGGGATATGGCAATAATTATTATTCATATATGAATACAAACAATAGATTTAGCAACTTAATCATAACTTTAGTCGTAGCGTTTAAAACAAATGTGGATTTTATTGAATAAATTCGATTTTATAAATTATGAATTGAATGAGAAAAAAACGTGCCGTTTGTTTCATTTCTTTTTCTTTCTTTTCGTCCGAACAAAAAAATCGGTAAATCAATATAAATTTCTCATTTTCCAGTGTGTTGCTCTTTGTTTTTTTTATTGACATAATTTCGATTCACCTATCAGTAGATAGAAACTTGAACGATGCACAAAATGTTAGACACAAATGAATTCGCTGCATACATTCAGTTGGATGATTGGTGTTGCCCGTTGTTCGCCATCGAGCAGCGCGTTGCTCCGAGAGAACCGAACGTATATATATAGCATTTGACATACTTGGTCCGTGTTTAAACGTCACTTTGCAATTTGTTTACATATATACGCCGAAAGATTTATAAATCGGTAATTTTTCCGAAGAAATATTCATTTATTTGGGGCAAAAATACGTACACACCATGTCAACAGTATCGGTTGAGCTCAGTTCATACCGTGACCAACATTTTAAGGTAAGAATTTTTGAAAATTTGACAACATATCCTCGATTTAACCTCAAACAATGCATTCAATTGATTGATTTGTATGCCATTTTTTTCTCGTCGTAAATTTCGACCTTCGAATATGGAATAGGGTACACGCGGTGAACAAGAAAAGCTGCTGAAAATAACGGCAACGCTTTACGTTGGAAACATGTCGTTTTATACCACAGAGGAGCAAATCCACGAGCTGTTCTCACGATGTGGTGACATCCGTCGCATTATTATGGGTTTGGACAAATACAAGAAGACGCCGTGCGGTTTTTGCTTCCTCGAATACTACGTTCGTGACGATGCCGAGAATGCGATGCGTTACATCAATGGAACACGTTTGGATGATCGTATTGTGCGTGTTGATTGGGATGCTGGTTTCATTGAAGGCCGGCAATACGGAAGGGGCAAATCGGGTGGCCAAGTGCGTGACGAATATCGAACCGATTTTGATTCGGGCCGTGGTGGCTATGGAAAATTGATTCAACCGAAAATCGCACCAAACACAAATGAAGGCCGATGAGGAAGAACGACATTCGATTTCTATGACATTTAAACAAACCAATACTTTTAAGTTTTCGATAATAAAAAAGTGAAATTTATTTATAAATTCAATAAAAGCAAAAACAATGGAAAGTTTCATTTTAAAACTCATCACGCGTCACCATGCGTGGGCCTTTTTCGATTTTCTTTGCTTTTTTCTTCTTTTTGGTTGTGTCTTTTTGTTGACCAGCATTTCGGTATGGATTGGTAAAGTTTTCACTACGTTTCTCTGGATTGATTTCTTGTTCGACGAGCCACAGCAACTCTTGACTTTTGACATCGATGATACGATCATTAAACTTTCGTGTGTATTTTATGCACCAATTGATTAGGTCTTTCCAATCTGGGCCGAGCAATTGCGAGTCGAGCACACGATACGATATATCTGGATTGTGTAAAATAACTTCACCAAACAGGCATGTATTTTCCATAGTCACGGTTATCGCATCAAACAGACGAACATCTTGTGGTGGAAATTTGTCAACCAATGGATCATATCGGCCACCTTGAATTATATTCTTTGTTTGCTGAAGAATCTAAATGATGAAAACAACGGTTTAGTTTTGAACAATAGCCATCATTGTTTGTCTTACATTCAAGAGTTTTTCATAAGCGCCTTCCAGCAATTTGTATTTGCGTTCGTAAGCACCTTCATTGCGAATGATTTGCAGCAGATTTTTGCTTTCTTTTCTTCGCTCTTGAAATAGTTGGGCATCTGTCCATTGAACGAAAAAAATCTCGTTTATTTCAAAATTGAAAATTCAATAGAAATAAGTCAGCCTGCAAACTTACAAGCCTTTTCGGTCAACAGTTTTGAGGATTTGCCGGCTTCATTTGATCCGGTTTCTTGACCGACAACAAATGCAATTTGAAAGAAAACTACAATCCAAATACTATTCAAATCCATCTGACAATAAAATCGATATTTGTATACAGCGAAATTCTCTCTTATTCAACGTAAACAAATGCGATGAATATCAAACGTTTCGATGGAACACGTAATGAAATCTTTGCGATAAAATTTGTGTTTTGTACAGTGTTTTCATCCTGGATGGCTACACTACAAACACCAATGCACATCATCGTCAAATTCCCATCGAAAAATTCTTATGTATGTGTTTCTGGATGGTCTCGTGACACCGCATCGGAGCTGTCAAATCGCATTTTAATGCTTCAACTTGAATGTTTTTGCACCAGCATTCATTTAATGGACATGTTCATGCAATTGAAATTGGAGCCGTTTGTTTCAGTTTCTAACATTCATTAAAATGTAAATGCATTAGGGAAATTTCAGTCGGACAATACGTTCGGTTCGGTATTATCGGTATTGAGCGGTCGCTTTGGTTGCGCATGTGTTTGTGAGCAGTAATTGAATTCAGTTCGGTGTATGGCGAAGTGTCATATTGCCGTCGTCTCATTAGAACGGTGACTGCGTGTTGGTATACGCATACCATTTTTTTCCGTCTCTCTCATTCGTATTTGTATGTAGTGTCACATTTTTAATCAATTCTTCAATTCCGTATCATTTGCACGTTCATTTCAGCATCAAAAATTCGATAAAACGAGTTAAAATTCCCAATTTTTTCTTTCGTTCTCAAGGCATCAAATTCATTCTGGTTAAATGAAAATTACTCAGTAAACAATCATCGAATCGAAAATACGTGAAAATGTTCGAGGACGCTGACAATTTGGCCGATTTATTCCGTGGCGGACTACCCATTTATATTTTAATAACGTTGCCCATTCTCGTGATTTGTTCGTCAAATCCCGTGTTAGCTAGTAGCGAATTCAATGTGCAACGAATGTCACAATACGACTTGCATGGAGTTCCATACGGTTAGTAGCATATCATTTTATTATTCTGCTTAATTATCGCTTGAATGGAATTCCCTTTGACCGATTGAGGTTAAGCAACTACTTGAAAAATTCAAGCTGAATATTCAAAAACTCGTCTAGTTGTAAACAATGAACGGTGGTTTCAGTGCTTTTCACACATGAACTATTAAAATCTGTTCTAAATTTATGGTTTGTTTTTAGGATGCCGTGCATCAAGCATTAATCTCGAAGCCAAATCATTGTACACTTGGTCAACTTCTAGACATTGTGTCTTGTCAAGGTAATGTCTAATTAAATTATTGCATTGTTCCGATTTCTAAATGGTCTTCATTTCATCGTTTATAGATTTCAAGATCTAACCGTCGACCAATTCCGTGAAATACGTGCCAAAGCCGGTGGTCTCATTCTGTTGCTACCACAGAATTTGGCTGAACTTACCGCCGAGCAACGTCAGGTCAGTCGATATTCGTTTGTAGTGCAACGATCGATATGTGATAATTGGATTCCCCTAAATATGAACAAATTCAATTAAAGTGCCAATTTTTCCTTGGTATAATTTCAATTTCGTTTCGTTGTCTATTTATAGCATGTTTTAAGTTTAGAGCAAGCGATGTTAGCCCAGGAAATTTCAATACCCGTGTACTTTTCGAAATTTGACACCGAACTGGATCATATCATCAGCGATATATCGAAACTGAAAGTCGATGAACAAGATGATTTGGCTGATGTTAAAGGTGCTGGCAAACGTGATTCAGCCTTGAGCGAAATTGTCAACTCGATCTCAGCAAATGGATATCAGGCATGTATTGAATGAGTAAAATGTTAAACTAGGTCATTCTATCAATTCGTTGTTATTTTTACTTGGAAATTAGGTTCAAGTGAGCGGAGCTCATCATTCTCCAAATAAACAGTCAAAAATACCAATCGTTCAAGGTGAACTGTATCCAATATTGCAAGCAAAAAATCCATCTAGCGATGCATTATCGGCCAACAGCAAGCTACCAACGATCATAATAACAGCTCATATCGATAACTTTGGACTATTAAATGTAAGTAGTTTCTCCGTTTGTCGATTCACGTACGAGATTGACTAATACATTTTCATCTCTCCGCAGAGTCAGCTAAGCAATGTAGATGCAGCCGTTTTTTTCACACTCATGGATACATTTAGCAAAGTGCACAATTCAATTGGCATGGCACCAAAGTATCGTTTCCTCTTTTTACTCACCGAATCGGGAAATCTAGTCAATTTCCAAGGTACAAAGAAATGGTTGGATGCAAATGTCGACGAAAATGCCGCATTACAAAATGTGGAATTTGTTTTGTGTTTGGATTCGTTGGGCAAGAGTGGTTTGAATGAATTATTCATTCAAGTGTCGAAGCCACCCAAAGAGGGAACCCATATCAATACATTCTACAAATTGTTGAAACAAAATGCTCAACGCTATGCAAATCATACGGTTGAAGGTGTACATAAGAAAATCAATTTGGCCGAAGCACAGCTCGCCTGGGAACATGAACGCTACAGCATGAAACGCATTCCAGCATTCACCATATCGAATTTGAAATCATACAAAGACCCACAACGTACCACCATCTTCGAAGAGAATCGCGAAAAAACACTCGAAGTGGCTCGACTAAATGCCAAAGTTATTGCCGAAACGCTCGCCAGCTACGTGTATCGAAATGCTAGCAATGTCAACGGCGATACAAATGGAGACCAACCCTCCACCGAACCATATACCGAAATTTTCTCAGGAACTATTGTAAGTCAATATCGATTTATCACAATGAATAGCTCAAGTGTTTCTTCTTTTTTTCAAACATTTTGATAATTGGTTTTGTCTTTTCATTAACAGGCAATCACAAGCGAAACAGTCCAACCCTGGCTTTATACACGTTCATCTTTGTTCAATAATGATGTTAAGAATGCCTTTGAAAAATATTTGAAAAACGTTAAAATCACATACGATAAGCCCGATTTGCGTGAACCAGACTTTATGTTCTACGACGGACAAGACGGTGTACTGAACATTTATAGGTAAGAGCAAATATAAATGGCTTAAAATAGTTTTCATTTTATTAATAAAAAACCCATTCTTTCGATTCGTTGTTATTTTCATGATGATGCCGCCGGTAATTGTGCCAAATTTGCCGTTACAGTGTGAAACCAGCTGTTTTCGATCTATTTTTAACCATTGTGATAATCTCATATTTGAGCACTGTCTACTTCGCCATTCTGTACTTTGGTCATTTTTATAGTGCAATTTGTAAATTAAGCAATAACAAAGCAAAAGTAAACTAAGCAACAAGGAGTAGAACAAAAAAAAGACAAAAAGAATACATCAACCAACCAACAAATCTACCAAAATACCAACCACAACATGAGAGCGACGTTGATTCGGCTGCTATTGCCGCATCGCAGAACCAACCAATCGTTTAGTCAATAAGTTATGAACAACACGTAGTTTGCATTTTCTGTTGATTCTGCAATTGATGCAATTTCATTTCAAAATGGGTGTAATTAACAATGGAAATAGTCTCTTTAGGAAAGGAATTTACGATTTCAACTCATTTCCCAATGTTGAAACATTCAAGAAAAAAAAGTACACAAAAACGATTCATGTATTAGATAGAACTATACTACTAGTATCATTTCTGCATCATTGTTTTCGTTTTCTTTGTTTATAAGAATCCCTATTTATGCCTGATACATGTATGGAAATTGAATTAAAGAGAATCAAACGATAAGAAACCTAATGGTGTTTTCATTTTAACTCAAATTTATGTTGTTCCAAATCGAAAAATCATTTCAATTGCTGGCTCAAAATCTCCGCAAATCGAAATCAATGTGAGGTTATGCTTTGACTGGAATGATTGTATCATAAATTGCTGTCAAATCGATTTGTTTTGCTAAATACATTTGGACTCTCGGTCAGAAAGCATTGTGACTTTATAGCCGGTTTTGACATTTCGTTTCATTTTCAATCTGTACTGTATTTTTGGTAGTGTTTTATTTAGATAATCAAAATCTATGATAAAAATAGATAAGATCTAATTTTTGTGTTTTAATCTAGATAAAGATAAGATATTTATCTTATCTTTTAGAAAAAAGATAAGATTATCTTCAATTATCTTCACATAAATTTA